AGAAACCGGTGATAAAAATCAGAGAAACCGGTGATAAAAATCAGAGAAACCGGTGATAAAAATCAGAGAAACCGTGATAAAATCAGAGAAACCAGTGATAAAAATCAGAGAAACCAGTGATAAACTTACTGGGAGCAGCATGGAGACGGCAGGTGTTGAGGAACTCCAGTGTAAAATGAATGTCCACATCACAGAAAAACATCAGGACGTCCCCTCTGTCCCATGCGTGGGCTCCGATGTCCAAACCCCGACCACGGGAAAACTCCTCGTACACGGGGATCAGAGTGTAGTTGGAGAAGCTCTCCTCGCTTTGACAGAACACAAATCTGGGTCAACAGAACCACCGGGTCCAAACAGAAACAGGAAGCTGCTTCAGAAGACAAACCTGGACATTTTCTCCAAAGACGACTTCACGTCCTGAAGACCTTCCTGTCCAAAATAAACCACGGTAAGATAAACCCGTCTGTCCTGCTGAACGCACACCTGCCTGAAAACAGAAGGAGAGACTGATGAACGACTGAGAAAACACTGCTGAACAACTGCTGAAACGCTGCTGAAAGACTGAAACAACCGCTGAAAAAAAGTAGCTAAAACAACTGCAGAAAAATGGCTGAATGACTGATAAAAAAAGACTGGGGCAGCTGAAACAGAAATAGTACCCGAGCTAAAAAGAAGCAAAAGACTAAAATCTAAAAGAAGCAAAATGTTAGCTAAAAGTATTGAAATGGAAAAAAAGCTTAGCTAAAAACTAAAGCAGTACATTAGCTAAAAGCAGCTTAAAAAAATGCTGAAGCAACATAATGTTTTATCCAAGAACCGAAGAGATCTTCATGTTTTTATGGGGAAAATATTTTTAAAAATCCCAGCAGCCGTCTCTTAAATGAGCCGAACATTTCGGTTCATGATCAGCTGACGCAGCTGTGACGGGTCACGTCCCGCTCCCGACCCATCCCAACCTGAAGTTGTGTAAGAACTGCAAGAAGGTTTCGACCCGGCCCGCCAGAGGAACGATGATGTTGACGATCATCCCTGACGTGTCCACAGACGAGCTGCGGACCTTCATGATGGGCCCGAACGGTCTGAAGAGCGTGACGTGACGGAAGCTGCTGGACTCCTCCTGGGCGAAGAAGAGCTCGTACAGCGTCCCTTTGTCTCGCTCCGTCCGGTACAGTCCTGCCCAACGGGAAGATCAGAAACAGATTTAGACGGAAGGTTCTACCACGGTTCTGATGGCGGTTTGGGTCGGACCTTCTGTGAAGTGACCGTCGGTGTACGTCTGCCGCTGCATGGGAACGTCGTCCTCCACGCCGTCCTCCTCGTCGGGGTTGTTGATGATGTCCAGCGCCGCCTCCAGGACCTCCACCAGCTCGTCCCTGCGGTCTTTGCGGACCGGTTTCTCCTCCGGGTGCCGGGTCAGGCCCATCTCCAGCTGGTACACCTTGGAGGAGGTGAAGCTCTGGAAGGGAACCAGGGCGTACTCGCTGGGCAGGCGGGCCCCCGTGTTCACCTCGGCCTTGTCGATCTGGGAGTGCAGGTACTCCAGCAGGTCTCCGGGCTCCTGGTCCTTGTTCTCCCCCAGACCCTGGACCCCCGGGGGCTCCTTCCTGTCCTGCATCAGCTTCAGCTTCTCGCTCATCTCCTGCAGCTCCTGCTTCAGCTGAGCGATCTGCCGCTTCAGGCTGGAGGCGCGGCTCAGGTGGCGCTCCTCGTGCTCCTGCAGCAGGGCCTGGTAGTACTCCTTCCCGTAGGCCTCCCCTGCCGGGCCGGGCCGGACCAGGCCCACGTCTGCGGGCGGCGTGCACTCCAGCAGGTACGCAAACAGCAGCAGCACCAGCAGCAGGAACAGGCCCAGGAAGAGCCAGCGGACCCGACCCTGGAGAGACAACAAGCCCCGCCTGGGCATCACGTCCCGGGACCTGCTACAGCCGAGTCCAGGTCCGACTCACATGGTGTCCGTGCTGAAGGTCTGCCATGTCCACGTGCATCAACGGCTGAGGCTGGTTCTGTTGGTCCCAGTCCAGATCACTGTGGTCCCAGTCCAGATCACTGTGGTCCCAGTCCAGATCACTGTGGTCCCAGTCCAGATCACTGTGGTCCCAGTCCAGATC